TCATCGAATGAGCGCCATAATACCAAATGAAAATTCGTTCGCTCAGCGCTTTCGACCACAGTCGAAAATCGAATGCAACTCATAATAGGGGCCTATATCTATAGATGACGCTTCCGCAAATCATAGGCTGGCTCCACATCGTCCTCTAATTCGATACGATTTTCGTTGTCCACTTTCGTTAATTTTAGCTCTAGCGAAATCGAGTGGTTCACATCTTGAATCGTTTTTTTTTTCAAAAGCTACAACACAGATCTATTTTCAGTTGATCTTTCTAAATTTAGCAAACAAGTAAATACTTGCACTTTGTACTCGATACCCTCGATGAAGTACTTGTTCACGCGTATCGAAGTACAAAAAACACTCGGTACTTGCTAGAGGTACTCGAGTATATACTTCTAAGTACTGGTATCGGAACATCACTATTCATTGAGTAGTCAGTCGCATTCCCGGTGCGCTGCTCCACACTCCCTTCACACATGTTTACATACCTACATACGTACATACATATGCTTAGTGTACACTTCAAGTTTCTTGATTATTCGATTCTTTGATGGAACTTGTTGCTGCTTGTTACCAAAGTATGTAGTTGTTGTTCTCATCAACTTGCCTCTTTTGCTGTTAGCGAGGTTGGTGCGGCTGTTGCTTTTTTTCTTCGTCGTCTTATAAGTGGCGACTCTCTTGCTTGTTCGCCTTCGCTTTGGGGATTTGGGGTCGTTTAGGCAAATACAAACAGATGTATGTATGTATGTACATATGTATGTATGTATGTACATACCTGCAATCTCCAACCCACCGACAGATGTTTGCTTTTATTTATATTTCCCTCTTTGTCTCGTTTCGTCTATTTTATAAACAGCAACGTACTTTTTTTTCTTTTTATTTCGTTTTATTTATTTTTCTGCTCAGCTGCTTGGCTTTTGCTTATACATATCTACCTTACTTATGCACATGCTCACATAATGCATACTCGTACAAAACTCATATATCTGCTTTATTTCTCTACGTGCGCGCCTGTATCTGTGCGTGTCTTTTTGCATTTGTCTGCGTGTTTCTTTTGCGATTGTGATTTTTACTTGGAAATTGAATG